TTTTATTTGAAGCAGAATAGTCTAGTGGAAAAGGACTGAATTAGGTACCTAGCGTTCCAGGTTTATATCCTGGATTTGCCACGAATTCATGGGTGATTTTCTGTGTGTTAAGGAATATTTCTTATGGTGAATGGCAGTGACACTATCCATTATCATTGCAGTTGATATCCTTGAGTGTGTTTTCATTAGCTTTGTTGAGTGTGAAATGTCTTAGCAGTGGAAGAGGGTGAGAACTTTGTTGCATTGACAAAAATTCTCTTCTAAGTGGTTTATTTCATTCTAATCTACTATTTCTGTCAAAGTTTGTGATGTCCTACTGATACAACTTGATTTTTTTTTCAATAAACATTGTGTCTGCTTGTGTTGCCCAAGCTAGTAGTGCAAGGGCTGCTCATGGGTCCAGTTCCTCCTCTGATATCCAGAGTAGTTTTGAATTGGGCCTCTTGACCCCTTGCTTTTCAGGGTTCACCCTATTGATGTTGAATGTAGTACAGACAACTGACTGGCATAGCCCACTGCACCTTAGAACTCTTGCTTTTCCAGGTAGGTGGGGATGACAGGCATGTGCCACCGTGCCAAGCCCATGATTTACTTTTTAACAAATTCTACATTTGTTTCTCTTTTGTTCCTTATTTCTTAATTCAATTAATAATTTGGTTTTTTTTCTGTAACCTTTTCATAATTGAGTAATGGACTTGAGAATTTGTTAAATTCTTGTTAGGTGGACCTTAGTTCAAATCCAACTCTCCTTGAATAGTAAACAAAAGGAAATTTACTTTGCCCTAACACAACAGGGATATGTAACAATGATACTGTGGCACTCAGCTTCTCTGTATGCAGCCTCCCTCATCTCCATGTGGAAATGTTTCTGCTGAGCATGGAAAGAGGATACAGTAACTCACATGGTCTTCAGAAATCTGCCAAGTCAGAGGGAGCCCTAGTTGCATGAGTGGAACTTGTTATAAAAGCCCTTAGGTGACCAGGAGACTTCATCAGGGAATCAAGGGCCAGGCCAGTCCTGAGATTCCTTTTAGTAAAAACTAATCTCTTCTGCTAGAGGTAAGGAGAAGAAGGCATGGGCCTAAGCTGTGTGGTGGGGCTCATAAATATGAGCCTTATCACAAATATTTTACTATGAACTTCCCTATCTCTAGGCATCTTTGCTATTTTCTGAACTAAAAACTTTTAAAGATATCAGAACAGAATTTATTGAATATTATGTTTCTCTTTAAAATGGCAAGCTAAGTGACACAGTATGTATATATAGAGAGAGAGACAGAGACAGAGAGAGAACACTGAGCCTGGAGTCAGGAGACCTGAGTTCTGATGTGATATGAGATAGTGTGACCCTGGGCAAGTCAATTAACCTGTGTCTGCTTCAGTTACCTCAACTATAAAATGGTTGTGGTAACAGCATCTGTTGTGAGGATCAAATGAGGTAATATTGTAAAGTATTTAGCACTGTGCCTGGAGCATAGTAGGTGCTTATATATAAATGGTTCTTCCTTCCCCCCCCCTTTACCTTCTTTTTAAAATGCATCACCTTTTAAAATTTTGATGTACCAAATATATGTCAAGCAACCTGAGAGAAGAAATATCCTAGATCTTCATTCATTTATCTTTCCTACTGACCTTCTACCAATAGGAGATGCAGTTTGAGTTATTTTTACACTAATATTGATGGGTTGCCCTAACCTATGTCCACATACTAACTTGTTATCAGTAGGGTACATTTCTGAGACAGCTGACCATTGAGTGTTAGAGATACCATTTATAGCTGGGAAATAATTTGTCTGAAAAGCTAAGTGGCCTGTGTAGTCATGAAGCCTATGCACTGTTGATGTTGGCAAGATACTTTTTTCTGTGGTTTTAAAAGTTTTTAATTCAAGCTATTTCACTTGCATAATGTGCTAGCCTGTCTGCCTCACCTCCTTCAAAAGGAGATTTTGCTTCTTGAACACAGCACAGAGCTTCTTCTGACTATATTCTTTGTGATTCAGTAACAAATGGCCCAGCTCTGTGTGGCATAAATTAACCTCTCATGCACTTTCCTGTGCTGATGACTGCCCATTTTTAGATCATTCAGAAATCTTAACAGCTTTTAAACATTCCTAGCATAATGTTCACTGTAATCAATCCTACTTTTTTTTTTAATGAAATACTTTGGCATTAACTCTTCTTTAAGCTTTCCATGTGAAGTTGTACTGAAGAATTGCTATTTTTATGTAGTACTATTATATTTTCAAGAAATATATGCATATGCACATATCATATTTATTTATCTATATGTACGTATTCATGGAGAAAGAAATATGCACACAGCCATATTTTAAAGTTTATGTCTTTTGTAGTTGTTTGGATATGGGGAGGAGAGACTATGGCTTTGGTTTGTTTATGTGTTTTAAACAGAGTACTCATTGTCTTGTTCACTTTCAGGAGTGTTATGTTTAAAGAAATCTTTTGCGTAAGAATACGATTGTATTTCAGTGGCCAAAAGCATCTCCTAATGTTGTTATAAGACCACTGAAAGAAATTTAAACTTATTGAGAGTTTTTACCGACACTGTTTTAGGATTTATGAATTTGAAGTTCTTAGTTACATACTGGTTTAAATAATATTTAACTTTCCTAGGTCTCTGAGAGTATAAAGATATTTTTAGAATTATTATTTTAATCATCTTAATTGGCTACATAAAACAAAACTATATATAAACTACAGTTTTCTAAATAAGCTTAATGTGATTTTTTTTCTTCAGAACAGACCAAAAGAAACCCTGACTAAAAGCATAAAGATTAATGTAGTTTTAATATTCTAATGAGTTAGGCCATTATTTTAAGACCAGACATATTCCCTCAGTAAAAATGCCATTATAATGTCTTTATGCTGACATTATAGTAAACGAAGCTACCAGAATGGTTTTGGAGTTCAGCTGTCCTTGACCATAGCAGAATGTCTAATCTGACTGTCAATTTTCCTATTGTTTCTTAAAGTAATATTATAAAGTTCTGTTTTTTCTGTAAAACAAATCTACTACAATTGTTACTATCCGTAAGGAAAAAACTTCACATAACTCAAAATTTTAAAAGGTTGTGTAGCAAAATTTTTTATTCATCTGTATCTTACATTATGTGTAGCTTCAGATTTAAGGCTAGTTCAGTGTGTTGTTCAGGTGGAGTTTTCTTATGCAGGAGTTCCTTATACCAATATCATCATGGGTTCATTTCCTACTCATTCTGTTTTGGCAGCTGTAAGGTACAAAGCTACACTGGTTACTGTATATAGGTGGAAGAAAACCCTCAGGGGATGAAAAATATTAAAAAATAAATTATACTAGAGATATATGGAAGAGAAACTAAAAGTAATGAAATATATTTCAAGCATTATCTATGTGTGTTACTTAATGTTCATTGAAAATCAGTGGAAATACATTGAAAATAATTTTATTTTTATCAGTTATAAATTGCAGTAATGCAAATATTACCTTAGATTAACTCAGAAGTTTTCACTATTTACATGTTTATCTTCATACCACAGTTGTTAATCTGACTGTACAGATGAGGAATCTCAAACACAAAAATCTTAAATTTGGTCTTATAAATGAAAAGTTTTTTCCAATTGTGCTGCTTTTGATAATGTGAAACAGCATATGTTAACTTAGTGGAGGAAGAAGGTTGAAATTGTTATTTCCACTCAGAGGCTGCATGGTATAGTGGTAAGAATGCTAGAAGTAGGAAATATCTGAATTTAAATAACATCTGACACTAAGTAACTATTTGGTTCTGGGCTAGTCGCTTGTCATCTCTAAACTGTATTTTCCTTATTTGTCCCTCTACACATATTCTCTCTCTCTCCTGCCTCATTGCTGCCTAGCAAAATGGCATTACTTATCATTAAATCTTGTTTATTTGCTTTCTGTACTTTTGTATTGTGTTGTCTCCAGACAAAAATAATCTTATTTTCTTTGTATTTTGAGAATGTTTGCTGTAAATTTGTGAACCACACTTTGAGGGAAGAACTGGATAGAACTTCTAGACAAAAAGTCCTAGATTGAACTTCAGACTATGTTGAAATCTTTTCTCTCTCTGTCTCTGTCTCTCTCCATCTCTGTCTTTCAGTCTGTTTGTCTCTGTTTCTCTGTTTCTCTGTTTCTCTCTCTCTCTCTCTCTCTCTCTCTCTCTCTCTCTCTCTCTCTCTCTCTCTCTCTCTCTCTCTCTCTCTCTCCCTGCCCTCTCTCTCCCTTTCCCCCTCCTCTCTCCTTCTTCCTATTCTTGTCCCTCCCTGCCACCCCTCTTTTCCTCTTTCACTGTCTTACTCTCCCTCCTTCCTCCCCTACCCCAAGCAGGAACTTTAAAAGCATTTGGTAAACCTCGAAGTAATAGTAATTATTCATATATTCACATTTATCTTCTGCTTTCCAGCAGCAGCCCTGTGAAGGCAGGTATTATTATCATCCTTTGTAGATGAGGGGACTAATCTGCTTTGTACATCCAGCTAATAAGCCAGGACTTGAATTCAGGTCTCCTGACATGAAGATCAATGTTGTTTCCACAACATTGTGCTACTCCCTGCTGTTTTTTGCATTATTATCTTGTATTTAGGATTTTCATGTAATTGCTTCTATTGTAATAGGACAAGATATCTCAAAATGTTAAGATTGTATCTGCCTTGAACATTAGTATGACATTTTCACATTTTATTTTTTATAAGTAATAGTTTAAAACCGAAAATGTCATAGTGTTACACGAAAGGAAAATTTATCAAATACTATGGTTTGTCTATATATAGTATTCGTCCTTTTTAAATGAATATTGGGTCATGAAAAATAAGACTGGATTTACTTCTGAAAAGTCTGCTGTAAGACTAAGCCTGTTAAGATTTTTTTCAATTTATTTATTGGCTGTTAATCCATTCATGTCTGTGATGGCCATAAAAGTTATTTCCTATGTTGTTGAATATTATATTGGATATCAGAATTTGCAATTATAACTTTTCTTTTCCAGATTTGTTCCTTACTACAGAATCAAGTTCCAGTACCTTTCAGTTTGAAATATGGGAAAATAAGGTAAGAAATCTTTAAAAAGTTGGGCATTTTAAAACCATGACTTGCAGCAAAAGCACATAACTAAAGGAAATATAATCAAAGTAATCACCCTTGTATTGGTTTCAGAAATAAATAGAACAGACATTAAGAGCCTGTAGTTGCATTGTTGCATTCAAACTGCTGAAGGAAATGATTCACTCAGCATCAATTCCTCTGCAGGTTTTTAGCACAACTGCCAATTAAACCAATCAGTCTACCCTAATGTGCATGTTAACAGGGTTCCTGCAGTGTTGTCAGCTGTTCTAAGAGGTTACTGTCATTTAATTTGTCAGCATGATGGTTTATGAAGAAAAATCTTTTTAAGGGACTAATTTCGCCTCCTTGTCTCCAGGCTTATATATTTTTAGTCTGGTTTAAACATGACTAAAAGAAATTAGATTTAGATATGAGCTTACTGCCAAGTTGACTAGATTGAATTGTTTCTCCCAGTAAGATGTTTCTGAACTTTACCTTAAAAAACTACCCAAACTGAGTTTGTTTGTTTTTTTCTTTGTGATTTTTAGATATTGTAAAAGAATAATTCATCAGAAGCAGAATGAAATCTTTAAAGTAGAAACAGGATGTCTTAATTTCCTAAATTTCAATCAATTTCAGCTTAAGTAATCTTTTATTTCATCTAAATTGGTCCCATGGTCCTTACTGTTTTACTAATAGAGTAACTAAGATGGGCAATAAGATTTATCAGAAATATACAATTACTTTTTTATATTTTACCACACCCTTATGCAATGTCTTAAATATAGTAGGTATTCAGTAAATATTTGTTGATTTGTTGGTTTTTAAAAGTTTTGTAAATAATGTTAGAGACTTTATGGGAACTTGGCAATTAGAAACATTCCCTTCATCAACTGAGTACACTAAATGTGGGGAGACATCCACTGGAAACCATTTTTTAAACCCAGGATTTAATCTTTTTATCCAAATGGAAAGAGACATGAACGGTACTCTTGTGAATTCAACATGAGAAAAGAAAATCATTGAATGTGAAGTACAGTGGTACTAGACTTCATATTTGTATTCATTTATCAAACATATATTAAGTACCTATTTACTATGTACATAAATATATATTGTATGTTTCTCTGTGTGTGTGTGTATGTGTGTATTACGCTGAGGGAGGTAAAATTTAAATTAAACCATCACTTTTCTCATGGAGCTTACTGTTCAACTTTGAAATATGGAAATAAAAACACATGTTCTTTATATGATTTTAATGTGCACAGTTTTAAATTTTTTATTATGTGACAAAATAATAAAAAGTGATTTCCTATAGGCTGCATAGTTTAACTTCTAGAGGAGTAAAGTACAAGAAATAAAGACCATTATAATAGAAAAATAAATTCTTAAAGTACTCAATTATCAAACAAAATCACTTATACTATGAGTAAAATTTTGTCCCCTGTATATGCTGTTTTAATACATATATTTTAGCTTATATATTGTCATAGAATCATACATCTATGTCATTCCTGACCCCTAGTACCAGTATAATAATAATGCATTTCTATTATGTTCGTTTATATTTTCATATAGCAATATTCTATCCTCAACCCACTTTTTTTTTCTCCATTTCATCTCTTTTGGTCATCTTATCTTATGACTTCAGTTATCACCAATATGCCCTCAAATCCAAAGTCCCTGTATCTGCTCCAGTTTCTACCCGGAATTTTAGTCCAGTATTTCCAGTTCTGATGGTTATCTCCACTTGAATTCTTCTATGGCATTCCAAACTCAACGTATCCAAAATTGAATTCATTATCTTTCGTGGAAAACCTTCCTCTTCCTCTAATTTCACCTTCTTTTAATGGTACATTTATCTCCTCAGATACCTAACTTCATAAGCTTGCAGTCATCTTATTCATCCCAATCCCTCACTCCACATATCCATTCATTTGCTAAATCCTATCACCCTTCTCTCTCAGTTAAAGACCACCTCTTGATTGAGGAAATTGAAGCCACCTATTGTGGCTTCCCCTTCTCATTGTCTCAAAATCCTTTGACATCATTCCCACTTTCTCCTCCGTTTTTGTCAATCTCTGACAATGAAATGATCCTTCTCCTTGCCAAACCAACCTTTCTACATGTGCCCTTGATCCTGTCCCCTCCTCTTCTCTATAACATACTACAGTCTTAAACATCCCCTCTCTCTAATCTTCAGCCTCTCCTTATCTCTTCCCTACTATTTTCAAATGTGCCTAAATCTCCCTTATTAAAAAACCTTCACTAGACCCTGCCATCCACTTAAGCTATTCCTCTATATTTGTGCTACCTTTCTCAGCCAAACTCCTAGAAAAACAAGAAGTGCCTCACTTTTTCTCTTCTCACTTACTTCTCAGATCTTGGCAATCTGGCTGACTTCTGATCTCATCACTCAATTGAAACGTCTCTCCAAAATTACCAGTAATTTCTTAACAAGCAAATCTGATGGACTTTTTTCAGTCATCTTCTTTTTCTACCTATCTACTACATTCTAGATTTGTCACTGTTGACCACCCTCACCTCCTGAATATTCCCTGGTCTTTCATAACACTGTTCTCTACTGTTTTGCCTTATACCATTTTATCCACTCCTTTTCGGTCTCTTTTGCTGGTTCATCATCCAAAACATGTCCTCTTGCTGTGACTGTTCCCAGGCTCTGTCCAGCTTTTCTTACCTTACTCAACTAACACTCTCTCTCTCTCTCTCTCTCTCTCTCTCTCTGTCTGTCTGTCTGTCTCTCTCTCTCTCTCTCTCTCTCTCTCTCTCTCTCTCTCTTTCTCTCTCTCTTTCCCCCTGTCTCTCTCCTCATCAGTTTCCCAGGGTTTACTAATTTTTATTCCAGTTATTCCATCTCTATATATCTAGCCCCAGTCTTTCTCCTCAGCTTAAGTCCTCCATTACCAATTTTACATTAGACGTTTCAAATTCAGTGCCTTAGAAATATTTCAAGCTCAACAAATCCAAAATGAAACTCCTTCTCTTTCTCTTCAAACCCACCACCTATCTTACAAACTTCTCTATTTCTCTTCAAGGCATCACCATTCATTTGTAACCGTAGAGTTATCCTCACCTCCCCGTCCTCCCTCATTCCTTATATCCAGTCAGTTGCCAAATCTTGCCAGTTCTACCTCCATAATATTTCTGACATCCATCCTTTCTCTCCACCCACACAGTTACCATCTTAATTCAGGCCCTCATCCCTTCTTACCTAGGTTATTGCAGTGACCCTCTAATTGCAACAGGGGATGATGTCAAGAGATTAAGACAGCTTCAGTCTATCCTCCATATTGCTGTCAAAGTAACGTTTAAGGACAAATCTGATCATGTCGCTCTCCTACTCAATAAAGTATAATGATTGCCTATTGCCCCTAGAATCAAGTATTAACTCTTCTGTTTGGCTTATAAAGCCCTTTAGAACATTACGCAAAGTTATTTTCCAGCCTCATTGTTCCTTGCTCCTCCTCCCACACTCAGCAAGGCAAACAAACTCGTATCTCTCTTCTTCACACATGAAATTCCATCTCCTGTCTCTGTCTTAATGTTGATTGTGCCTTAAATGCACTCCATCCTCACCTATCTTATAGACCATTTCTCTTCCTTTAAGATGCAGCTCAGGTCCTACTTTTTATATCAGGCCTTTTCTGATCCCTTCAATTGCTTGTTCCCTCCTTCTCCTCCTCAATTACCTTGAGTTTAACTACAGTATTTTGTGTTTATTTATATTTATTTTTTATAAACATAAGTTCTTTTTATCACTCCTTGAGAGTATTCGTTGTAATAATACACATACATATGTACATATATACACATATATGTTCCCTTCCTTTTACCTGTCACAGGAATTACATGTAGAAGACTCTTAACTCTTTGCTCCTGAATTGAAATGAATTAGAAATAAAAGCCTAGCACAATCAGTGCTTAATAAATGACAATCCAAAAATTGCTTCTACCATTTTTTCTACCTTTATAATTTTATTTTCTAGAAGTTTTGGAAAATAGTAGTTGAACTGAATCTTGAAGGGAACCAAGGATGCCAAGAAGCATAGAAAGATGAAGAAGAATGCATTCCAGGCATAGGGAACAAGGCATGGAGATGGGAGATGGAGTGTCATTAGCAAGGAAGCCAATTTGTGTAATAAAGCCAGAAAGGTAGGATTGGGTCAGGCTGCGAATAGCTGAAATGCCAAACAGAGACATTTCTATTTAATTCTGAAAGAATTGGAAATCACTGGAGTGTATTCGGTGATATTGTCACACCTGCATTCTAAGTAAATCCCTTTGGTGGCTTTGTGGAGGATGGATTGGAGTAGGGAGAGATTTAAGACAGGGAAAGCCATAAGAAGTGCTTGTTAATAGTTTGGGGGAAAGGTCATTAAGGCCTGAACTGGGACGGTGATTGTATGAGTGGAGATGAGGGGTCAGATGTAATATGTGACAACTATTCATGTTCTCTTGATGATATGGCTTAAGTTATATGCCAAGCTTTCTTTAAACTTGTTTTTTCCTTCTACTGTTTCTTGTTGTATGAGTCATTACTGCTTATAACATTTTACAATTTTTCTCCATAATATTTTACAAATACATTTGTAGTCTAAGATGAAGCCTTTGGCTTCCATATTTGTCCATTAGACTTGGTGTTTGCTGACTGAGGTTTCTAGGTCTTTTGATGTCTCCTCTCGATCGAAATTGATTTTTATACATTAAACTTCTTAACAAATGCTGATAGTGTGGATGCATATTTGTTCTTTTATTAATTCCCCTTTTGGGGGAGGGGGAGAATCAATTACTTGTTTAAATAGATCAGGTTAGAGTTGCCTTAATTGCATACTATATCTTCTCATTATAATTTTTTTCTAATTTTCTCCTGATTTTAATCCTTGCTTTTTTCAAGCCAATGGAAAATTACTCCATCAGTAATTAGCTATTTCTTGTTTGTTAAAATGTGATCATTCATTTTTGTAATGTTATTTAGTGTACACCATATCTACCACCACTTAACTTTTATCAAAGCAAGTGCTCATAGTGTATGAATATGAGACTACCATATAGTCTGCAAGTCTTTGCCTTTTCTCTTTTCTTATTCTTCTACTATTTTCCTAAATATTTTTCACTTTCCTTTCCTGTACCTATCTTTGTATTGATGTAGTTGAGTTACTGATGTATATGCTGCTTTCATTGAAAGGTCTTTTCAGATTTTTCTTAAAATGTCTCTGTCTCCTCACACTATATGAGAAATAAAAGGCTCAGAGACTGAAATAATGTTCATGGTGATTCTTTTGAAAATGCTTATCCCTGTCATTGCAAATTGCAAAAGATGACTAAATGCCCCATGAAATGATGTTTCTTGTTGCCTTTGGATATACACATTAAGGTCACCTTAACCAACCCCTTCATTTACCCCTACAAGGAGAACTCACAAGCTATCTGTCTTCATTTACAGCTAGAACGTCTAGACTAATGCAATTCTCTTCCTCCAATAGTATGTCCATTTGTTGATCCCTAGACTAGGATCTTACATTTTAAATACCTGAAGCTGAATTAATGAGTGTAAACAGTCTTAGAACTATGTGATTCTTGGAACTTTCCACCACTCTCCTGCCGTGCTGGCAACATCCCTGCAGAAGATGAAGGGGCCACCCAGGACTAAGGATGATGGGTTATTATAACCAGAGAATTCATCACCAAGTAACAGCGGGCTAGTGATGAACTTCTCCATACTTGCTAGATTGAGCCTCAGAAAAGTATTTTAATCTGTTGCTAAGACAATACTTGAAGCTTTTCCAGCATTGTGTAACCTTCCAAGATTTGTCCTCTTCTGAGATAGAGTTGTAGGACCCTGGATCACCTTCATGAGGCATCAGAGTAGCGTTTTTATTTATATTTTCAGGAATGACTCACAGCATTTCTAACATAGCTATATCTGTGTTTAACAGGATGGAAATTTTTCTTCTGCCAGTTACATAATTCAGAAACCCCAAAACATGAAGCTGGTTGGTCAGTCAGCATTTGCAGACTTTGGTAAGGATGATTATTTGCTTGAATCCCTCTTCCTCCCCCACCCTTAGAAAGTATAAGATCTTTTCCCATTCCATTTAATAAAACCAATTCTGTTTACTTTTCCTGGGTGCTGGAAAGTGTCCACAATGTCTCTAGAACCATTATAGTTGGAAGAAGAAAAAAACCCATTAACTCAAGTTTAGACCACAGCCTGAGGTTCAACAATTGTATAATCTAGTCACATGAAGCTTCATATAGATTATTCCTACATGATATATGTTTCTGTCGTACAACTCCTTTTTAAATAAAAATAACAATGGGGATGATTTTTCTTATAAATCCATGAAATAGAGTGGCAGTAAAAGGGCACTGGACTTGAAGTCAGATTGTGTTCATATCCCAACTCGGATATTTACTAGTTTGATGACCTGGGCAAAGTCATTTAATCTTTCTGTGCCTCAGTTTCTTCATCTACTGCAAATTAGGCAATTAGACTCAATATCCTCTAAAATTCCTTTCAATTACAAATTTATGATCCTATCAACTAGACGTATCTACCATATACTTGAAGGGAAATTCTTAACCAGGATGCATGTGTGTATGGTGTGTATGTGAATATTTACATATATCTATATCTATCTATCTATCTATCTATATATAGATAGATAGATATAGATAGATAGATAGATAGATATCTATATCTATCTATATATAGATAGATATCTACGTATATATATATACACATACACACACACACACACACAAATACATATATACACAAATGTCAATAAAAAGGGATGTAAAAAGTAAATTTGTAGTATATCTGAGTTTCTTCTATTTTTAGGGTTTTTTCCAATGTATAATGCTTTTGTGGTTTGATGAAAAATATTTATTGTATGTTCCCATACTGTTTGCATTATTAAAAGGTCATTTCATAATATTCAAGGGTTCAAAATATTGCAACTTGGTCAAATTTCTTCCCCAAAGAAAGCTGATTAGAACGGTAATATTTGTGTGTTTTCATTTGCATAAGACCGTGTTAGATACAAACCAGATAGACACAATTCCAATTGAACACTTCATGAAGGTCATAGATCATACATCTAAATCTAGACATTTAGATCTCAGAAATCATTTAGTTCAGCCCCCATATTTTATCAATTAGGAAACAGGTATAGAGGCATAATATTACTTGCCCAGGGTCACAAAGATATTAAATGATAGAAATGAGATTTAAACCCATGTTCTCTGGTTCCAAATCCAGGTTGCTTTCCCTTCTGCAGCATGCTGCATCCCTACTTTTAAGCTGTTCCAGAAGTTAAAGCAAATATGACCTCATGACTTTACTATTAGCCCTTTTATTAAAAAACATCCTGAATTCTCAATTGTGGATTTCCCACCAGAGACCAGATAACTTTCCATTTTCTGTGAGCTTTAGGTTCAGTTTGATTTGCAAGGTCCCAGTTTGGTTAGGAACATTCAAAAATTCTTATGACCATTGGGCAATCTGTTAAGGATAACATAGAAAAGAATTCCCAAATTGGGTAGTACAAGTAAATAATGAACATCTAAAGTCCCTACCAGCCCTGCAATTCTTCAACTCTCTTTTTCCAAACCAGTTACTATAGTCATGGATAAATTGAAAGTTTCATTATCATTTAATAGTACTGCATTCTTCATGAAGTAGCCTAAGGGTGATAGTTTAAATATTAAAGAATGTTTATTGATTTTACTGAAGCCTGTAATCATTTGTATACTGTTTATATCAATACCACATGCATTTTCTGTGGTGCATTCAAACATTTCCTCTCTACTTATTCATTCTTTTGTTTTATAGTCCAAATGTTATTTCTGCACAACTATAATCCCTAAGTATTTTGTTGCTTTCTCCCCCATGAGCCTTTTTTTTATTCTGTCAGTCCCATATTTTTGAAATCTTCAGAAACCAAAATAGTTTTGGATAAAAGGTCCAGTTAAAATCCTTTTCTGTTCCCTGTCACTTCATGAATCAAATGTAAAACTCCTCTGTTTCATTATTTAAAGCCCTTCACAAGTGGCCCCAACCTACCTTTATTGTCTTATTATTTATATAATAATAGTTACACACACACACACACACACACACACAAATACATACACACACACACACATATATATATATATATATATATAGTGTTTTCATGTATGGGATTTTATATATATATGTATATATGTGAGTGTGTGTGTATGTATATATGAATAGCTAAAAGGGAACTCAGAACTCATTTGGTTCAGTCCCCACATTTTATTGATTAGGAAACAGGTTTAGAAGTGTCACATAACTTGCCCAGGACCACACAAGTATTCAATGATAGAGCTGAGATTTAAACCCATGTTCTCTGGTTCCAGATCCAGTATTCTTTCCCTTCTGCAGCATGTTGTATTCCTATTTTTAAGCTATTCCAAAAATCAAAGGAAATCTAAACTCATGACTGTAGTATTATTCCTTGAATTCTCAATTATAGATTTCCTACCAGAAACCAAAAAACTTTCCCTTTTCTATGATTTTATATACATATATCTTTCCACTCCCACCTACCTCCATTTTATTTTTCTGGTGCTTTAACCTCTACAGTGACAGCATATAGCTCTGCATCTAATCGTTTGCCACTGAGTAAGAACCCACTATCATATTATGGTATTTTTAATTAAAGGACCCAAATTCCTGAAATTCAAAGAGCAGTCTCTTACAGAGATCTTGAATCCATATATGCTATTTCTGGAACTAATTCGTCTGCCTCACATGTTTCATCTGAATCACCTCCCAGATATGAAGAAGAAGATACTGTAGATGTTGACGATCCCACCTATTCTTCATTTTCTGAACCTTACCCACCCTGAACTATGACCTAAGAGTTCACTTTACTATGGCCTTGTTTGTGTCTGACCACACATTTATTTAATTTGTCTTTATAATAGAAATAAATAACAAAAAGCTTTATATATACTTCATTACAGCCAAACTGGCCTTCATACTCTTCCTCATACGTGATACTCAATCTCTCATATCTGTACTTTTGCATTGATCTTTCTCCATTCCTGGAATTCACCCCTTCCTCCCCTTACCTCTTAGAATCCCTAGCTTCCTTCAAGGTTTTGCTCCAGTTCCATTTCTTTATGAAGTCTTTCCTGATAATCCTATGTACTAGCATCTTCTCCCTTGTACCTGTGTATGTGTACATGTAGGCATGTATATGTATATGTACATACATACACACATACATGCATATATACACATATTGTCTTCCACAGTTAAATGTAAATTCTCCCTGTGTCACTTATGTCTTTGTATCATCCAGTGCCTACAACAGTGCCTGAAATGTGCCTGATAGATGCTTAAGAATTTTGGATAGGAGGTTGTTTAAATACCTGCCCAGCACAGAATCACAAACTTTTAGCTCTAAAAAAGGCCCTATAAATCATCTAGTATGAGCTCTGAATTTTACAGGCCTAGTGAGTGGCTTGCTTAAGATCACACATCAATTTAATAGTAGGGCCAAAATTTGAATAATACTCTAACACTTAAGTTTTACAAAATACTTTCTTCATAAAAAAAAGTTGCAAGATAATGTATAAACATTATCATCTCCATTCTATGGACAGGGAAACTGAGAATTGGAGCAGTCAAATAACTTGCCAAGTCACCCAGCTTAAAGTCAAATGCAGGTCTCTTCCTGATTATCCCAACTTTGCCCTTTCTTCACATCACGGAGCCTGACCTGGTAGTCCAGAGAACACTGGGAATAGCAGCTGATGGTCTGAGACCTATAATGCCATTTAGAAGGCCACATGAACCCACTGGAGACATCCTTTCATCTTAGCATGTGATTAATACTACATAATCATAATGAAAAACAAAAGTAGGAAATAATCACACTCAATTTATATTACATTCAAACCTCAAATAGCTGATCTCAAAATTTATTTATTTTTATGCACAATGTTCTTAGGAGTTTTTCCCCTTTAAAAAAGAGAACAGATCAAAAGAAAAAAATCTGGAATTTACTCTATAAATCCTATGATACGTTACTATTAGGAAAGACTCAGCTAGTCTCCTAAATTTTCTTCTTCTGTAGCACAATAGCTGACGAACTACAAAATACCCAAGAATATGTTGACTAACCACTACTATCCAGTGCAGGAAAAGTTTTTCTGTTTAACCTTCAAAGAAGCAAGTGACACTATTCCCTGAAAATCCTGGTGAAAGTGAAACTTTACTTCCCTTCTAGATAATTCTGTTTGGTGTTTAGACTAGGGTTCAACAAAATAAGTATATTACAGTAATTGATGTGCTTAATGCATGTATCTTTTCCTTAGCAATAACATATGAAGGAATATTATTTCTACTTTTCAGGTAGGGAAAGAGAGAAAAATAGATTAATAACCTTCGGGCATAAAGTGTCCTTGGCAGAATTTGAATTATAAAGTCTCCTGACTCATTAACCTACATTTGATAAAAAATCAGAAGACCAGACCAACTTTATTTTTATCTACCCATCACACTCAATAAATCAACATTTATTCACTGCTTACTAAGTGCACTGTGCTTGGAGCTGGGGAGAAAAATACAGCAGTGAGATTGTCCCTGTACACAAGGAGCTTACCTTTTTTGTGGGAACCAACATGTACACATATAAGTGAATAAAAAAGAATATACAGAGGGATGTGGTAAAGGGGTGTGAAACTACCAATAGGGCAGGGGTGAGGGGCCAATCAGGAAAGGTGCCATTTTAAGGGGAGCACTTAAGCTGAGCTTTGAAGTGAGCTAAAGGAATCTAAATGTTTAGGGGTGAGAATGCCTGCATATTACATACAGGGAATAGCAAGTAAGCCAGTTTGGCTGGATCATAGAATATATGAAGGAGAATCCTGGAAAGGTAACCAGGAGCCAGATTGTGAAGGGCTTTGAATGCCATACAGAGAAGTTTCTTTTGATGCTAGAATCAGTAGGGAGCCACTAGCATCTTCTTGAGCAGAACAGT